GCGGATTCTAAATCGGTATGGAGTCAGGTTAAAATCGCAACGGGCAAAACGAAAGCCGACTAGTCATCGCACAGCCCCAATCCGAAAGTAAACCTAGGTCTTGCCCTAAACCCAGCACACTAGTCGCTAACGTCTCAAGGCATGAATCGAGATCCTAAAGGCATGTCTCTTCGCTCACATCTAAACGCTCGCGAAAATCGAAATCTCCCGAGTTAATGAATCGGACGATTTACACCAAAGACTTAGATACGAGACGACAACTTGTATTCTTCCCTCTACATCTAACGCAAAACACGAATTTCATACTTAGAAAATATTTTCTTATTAAAAGAATCCAAGTACATACCGCCCAGCGGTAGGGATTCAAAGCCACCAACGGCCAGTCCCGGAAAAACAACAACAAAATCGAAAAACTAAGAACATCACACATCAAAGTCATCAAACGCAGACTGATCGACTTCACCATCCACGTCCGAAATCCCATGACAAATTTCGACCGAATCCGGTGACACCACGATGGGATTCCATTGATCCCACATGCGCGCCTTGAGGTCGAAAAGTTCGGGCTGTGTATCTCTTTCCCGACTCAGGTTTTTCCGCCGCTCGGAGAATTCCTTAGCAAACGAATACCCTTCATTCTGAGTTAGGGATAACCCATGAACGATCCCGAGACATTCGCGATAATCACCATGCGCTCATTGAACAACTTCTGCATCCGAACAACCGGTTGCAAATCGCTCGCGACGAGCCTTCATCTCCTCGGTAACCTCTCGTTTGCCCGCACGACGAGCACGACGAATCCTTTGGTCGGAAAGCTCCTTGGCACGACGAGACCTAGCCGCACACTCATCCCTCACGCGAGCGACCTCCCTCGCAACCACTTCTTCGGCTTGGTTGGCCTCGACCTCTACCCGAAGACGAGCAACTTCTTTTTCGGCCATGTTCGCTCGAAACTCGGCAAGGCGAGCTTCAGCGGTACGGCTGTCTAGGGCTCGGCTCATGGCAAGGAAACCCTACCAAAGAAAAGAATTAAGCGATATCATAAAAACTGCTCGAAAAGATAACAATAAACACACGTACCTCCTTAGCTTTCTCAGATCCCCTAATAAACTCCGGGACTTGATCGTGGTCAATGTCCGGAAAATGGGAGGTCGATGATCCACCCGCCTTCGTCCAGACGCCTTCTTCCGTCTGACTATCAAGGAAGTCCTTGAGAATATTGTCAGGAGAAGTCGCGCGCTCAGAATCATCATCTTCGACAACCGGATTTTTTTCCCTTTGGGAGCTTGATTTGCCACTCCTCATCGAGGGAACATACGGAATAAACTCCCCGATGAACGGATCCTCTTCATAAATCAGAGAATTCGCAAAGAGTCGAGATCGGAAGAGGGCAACCGCTTGGCGGACGCGTTGCGGAGAAAAACTACACCAACCAACTTCACCACGTTTGAGAGAAGTGGTGATGCTCTGGAGATCCGCGGGATACGGAGGCAAAGGGTTGGTCACTGGGGAAAAACATAAACGAATAAAAATATAGATATATAGAGGATTCGTATGAACTCGTTTCACGTACCTCTCCGACCCCACGTAGTCGTAAAAAACGGAATGCAACCTTCCTCAACTGACGCGCTGTCGATACGAACATAAAAGAAATTTTTCTTCCAAGAAGTAGAAAGTGTTGAGCAGCCCGTAACAATTTCGTCACGAGGGCATAGAGTGACCCTCAGAAATTGCCCCGTGGGCTTCAACAGACTCTCGAGATGATCAACGTTAAGGATAATTCCCTGCTCGTAACTCAGCTTCAAAAGACCAACGAGTTGCTTTAAACCAGAGGGATTCAGCTGACTGATCGACAGCCCCAGCCTGTGAAGGTAATGGACACTGATTTCCGGAATCGAAAACCATAAGTGGCATTGTTGCAAGAAAATGTTGTAACATGTGAAAAAACCCTCGGGCTCGTCCTTGTCACCCTCCCCGGCAAGTGGGAGACGAAACTCAACAGCCTCTGGAACTCGGCAAAATTCGCGCGTGTAATCGATACTTTTAAAAAGCGTCGAGCTCGGATATCCGGAAATTTGATCGATGTCCGACAAAGCTGGAACCCCAAGTCCCAGGCCTAGCGGAGCCCGACTCATCTCCCGACGCCCAAAAAGCCTCGTGATCCGCCGGATCGATTAACGGGGACGAATACTCTTCTTTCGGTGTTGAACCCTGAGGCTGCGAGCTTGTTCCCTCAGAATTGCGCAAATTGGAACTAGTCGAGGAACGAGTCTTTCTTCCTGAAAACATGTTTGAAGATCTTCAAAGAAAGTGGAGAGAAAAATTTCTTGGATAAGTTGTAGAAGGTGGAGAAAAGAATTCAAAATTTTACTCCATCTACTTATAGGGAAGAATTTTACTATTCACCTTTGGACTTTTGGCCATCAAAGTTCCGCCTAATTCTACCAAACTCGCCAAACAAGCTCAAACCACTCGCAAGAACCACACGATTCTTACGAGCTGGGGGGCTAACTGTTGGGGTCAAAATCGGTACGACGGAATCAATAGCCAAAACTCCCCGCAAAAACATAAAAGGAATAGTTTTATAAAACCCAAACGATCGTTTTATAAAACAAGAAGACATTTTATGAAACTCGCAGACCGTTTTATAAAACTCAAAGATCGTTTTATAAAACTCGAGAAGCCGTTTTATAAAACTCGAAGATCGTTTTATAAAACTCGAGAATCATCTTATAAAACTCGAAGATCGTTTTATAAAACTCGAGAATCGTCTTATAAAACTCGAAGATCGTTTTATAAAACTCGAGAAGCCGTTTTATAAAACTCGAAGATCGTTTTATAAAACTCGAGAGGCCGTTTTATAAAACTCGAATATCGCTTTATAAAACTCGAGAAGCCGTTTTATAAAACTCGAAGATCGTTTAATAAAACTCGAGAAGCCGTTTTATAAAACTCAAAGATCGTCTTATAAAACTCGAGAATAGTTTTATAAAACTCAAAGATCGTTTTATAAAACTCGAGAAGCCGTTTTATAAAACTCGAAGATCGTTTTATAAAACTCGAGAGGCCGTTTTATAAAACTCGAAGATCGTTTTATAAAACTCGAGAAGCCGTTTTATAAAACTCGAAGATCGTTTTATAAAACTCGAGAAGCCGTTTTATAAAACTCAAAGATCGTTTTATAAAACTCGGGAATCGTTTTATAAAACTCGAAGATCGTTTTATGAAACTCGAAGATCGTTTTATAAAACTCGAGAATCATTTTACGAAACCGCAAAAAACCGAAACAGCCGTAAACGCGAACTAGTCCCGTCCCGACTAGTTCGCCGTTAGGCGAACTAAAGACTTCTTGGACGTCCCGAGCCTCGATCTCCCGCATCCCCGATTCAAAACTTACGTCTTTCGACATGGTCGCATTCTGAACCACGGCCGAAACGTCTCCCGTTCCATCTCGATCCGACCTATCGTTCGAGTTTTACGATAAAAACCGTAAAACTTCGCTTTCTCGACGAAGAACTCGAGGAAATCGTATAAAACGGCAATGGTTAAACGAAACACCGAACATTGCCTAAAACTATACGACTTGTTCAAGATTTCTCGTTGAAATCATAAAAAGTGCGTTTTTAATAAAAACGTAGAGTAAATCGTAAAAAACGCGTTTTTAATAAAAACGTCGAGTAAATTGTAAAACCTTGCGATTAGCTCGAGGAATTTATTAAATACGGCATCAGATTAGGAAACGATCCCGTACAAAGTCGGAAAACGGATCTATCGCAGAACGGCCCGGAAGGTCCTAAAAACGCGATAAAAACCCATCTCGCGATCTTAACGGAATCTAACCCGAAGATACGATAAAGTTTTAACGGTTACTCGCGGAAGGAAAATAAATGTCAAGTTTGAAGATAAAAGGAAGGTTTGAAGAAAAATAGAAGATTTTCGCGGAAGAAAAGGAAGGATTGAGAAAAATGGAAAATTCCCGATATAGTCAAATCTGGGCGAAATGGAAAGACCGAATGGCCAAGGCGAGGAGTATATAAATAAGAGGTCTAGGGCAGAAGCAAGGGACACGATTTTCAGAGCTCTCACCACTAAAACTAGCATTTAGGAATATTTCCGTTTTCTGTTAGCTAGTTGCGTCTCAATTAGGGTTTTTCGTTCTTAGGCTTTTCGGCCACTCTTTTGTACCAGTTCTACGCAGATTCGGAATAAGAACCCCCTTTGCTCTCGATTTTCGTTTATTCATTTAAAGTTTCTAAGTATTTTGTTATCTTAATCTTCGTTGTGCGGTTCTGCAGATAGCCGGTTCCTCTGAAAACTTAGGGTTTTCCCAAAGTTTCCTTATTTACGATTATTTGACAATAGGTGGATTTCGGTTCCCACAGATTTTGACCCTACTAAGCCGGTTACACAAAAGTTCATAAGGGTTCAAGTCAAGTTCAACGTCGCTCATACCCTGAGAAAAACAAAGGTCATTCAACTTAGAGGCGAAAAAGAAGCCGTTGTCCGTTTCCACTATGAGAACGTCCAAAAATGGTGCTTCTCTTGCCAAAGATTGAACCATGAGAAGGACTTTTGCCCTTTAGTGGTGAGACAAAGACAAGAAGCCACAAGAGTAAGGAGAGAAGAGGTCACTAAAAGCTTGGCAATGAAAAACCCTTTTCTCAAGGAAGATGAGATACTCTTTGGAGTCCTCTCAGAAGCTCAAGTGGGGATAGACCCTGCCACGGGTAAAATAATGATAGCTCAAGAAGTCCTGGATGAGATGAGAAGATACCTTAAAGCTGATACAGGGGATAGCTTAACGGTCAAGGTTGATAGGATCCAACAATCTCTTAAGTATGCAGAAAAGGATACTATGACGCAGAAGCTTACTCTGCGTCTGGAAGCCCCTCCGGTGATAACTACGGACCTTAATAAAGGTAAAGGTTTGGTGTTTGATTACAGTGAAAAGATGGGAGAGTCCTCAGACATCAACCACAGAGCCTCAAAGGAAAAAAATCATGGCTGCTTCTTTCAAAGCAGACTCCTCTGCTTCACTCCAATCAGAGCCTCTGAAACGTTTTACTCTTCACGAGTCCGATAGCGATGCAAGTTATGCCTCCTTCACTTCTGACTACTCTACGGTTTTCAGAGCAGGGAGGTCTGCTCCTTACTCTACCGGGGTTGTTAGAAAGAGACATGCGCCCAGGAAAAGACCCCCCAAAGCGGTAAGACTACAAAAGAGCAGAGAAGTGGAGCAGGTGATGTCTTGTGAACCTGATCCGAGAAGAGAAGACAAGCAAATCATGGGATGTAAGAAAAGGAAGTGTGCACCAGAAGATAAGGAACTAAGTTCAAATGTGAAGGCTTTGTGCCTAAAGGTAGCCCCAAAGGGGGGGG